TATTATTGTTATTATTATTATTAGTATTAATATTATTATTATTATTAGTATTAGTATTATTAGTATTATTAGTATTAGTATTATTAGTATTAGTATTATTAGTATTAGTATTATTAGTATTATTAGTATTAGTATTATTAGTATTAGTATTAGTATTATTATTATGTTTTGATTTTTGTATTGTATAAATGGCCAAATTCTGACTAAGGTATGTTGAATGTGCTGACCAGTTTGTTATTTGCCTAATACATTACAATAGGCTACAGTGTTTTAATTTAAAACTTTTTTCTAATGATATAAGATGTAATAAATTTGTATTTTAAAAATAAATATTTGTCATATTTCTTTATTCTAAATATTTAATGTACTATATATTTGAGTACATCAAAAAGTGTGATTATGATGACCATCCGACAAGCTAATCCAGCTAAAAACAGTTCTTAAAATTCAGTATTTAAATCTCACAATTAAATAAAAAATTAGGTGAATAACTGTAAAGGTTTGCTTTTTAAGAAAAAAAACAACCACCCCTTTCACCAGGCTGGCTGCGGGCCTAGAATATAAAGTCCTGCTGCAGTGGAGACAGAATGAATATTGTGTCTGACTCCATCATGAGCTTGGAGGACTGCATCCATACATCTCTGACATGACTCACATCACTGATTAATAAAGTCATCTGGAATGAAGAAGAAAGCGTTCAGCAGGACTCCCAGAGTTCATCAAGAGTCTTTGTGTTCATCTTCAACGCCTCCTCCTTCATCTTACCCCAGACATGCACAATAATGTTCATATCTGGTAACTAGGCTGGCCAATCCTGGAGCGCCTTGACCTTCTTTGCCTTTAGGAGCTTTGATGTGGAGGCTGAAGTATGAGAAGGAGATGATTTATCAGAGAAATCCACCTTCTGACACTTTTACAATTGATCAACTAGAAATCAAGTTATCATTTGTTGATCTTACAACTATCCAACAAGATTTTTTTTTAAATGGTTAATAGGCGTCTAAACCTTACTAGCCAACATATGGATTATAAAATCCAGGAGATTTTGTCCTGGGTTGCACGTGAAGTGAAGAACGGGGGTTGGGTGGGGTGATGAGGTGAGTGTGCGAAGTGAAGAGATTGGGGGGTTGCACGAAGTGAAGAGTGGGGTGGGGGGTGATGGGGGGGATTGGTTGCCAGTGAAAAGCAGTGGGGGGGAGCGTGAAGGGGGTTTGAAGATGGTTGCGCGTTGGGTTCGGTGAGCATGGGGACTCACCCAAAATCTGGGGTGGGGGGTGGGGGGTATTGGGGGGGTGGAATTTCAGGAGTTTTCCGGGAGAAGACAGAACTATACGGGAGATGGGTCTGAAATACGGTAGACTCCCGGGAAAAATGGGAGGGTTGGAAGGTATGGTCTACACCAGGGGTGTCAAACTCAATTCCTGGAGGGCCGAAGCCCTGCACAGTTTAGTTCCAACCCTGCTCCAACACACTTACCTGTAGGTTTCAAACAAGCCTGATGGACTCAATTAGTTTGATCAGGTGTGTTTAATTAGGGTTGGAACTAAACTGTGCAGAGCTGCGGCCCTTTTGGAACTGAGTTTGACACCTGTGGTCTAAACAGTCGACTTGGCTTTGAGAGCCCAAGTTTAGCCTAGTTTTAGTCAAGCTGTCAACGTGTAGACGTCTATTAGACGTCTATTTAACACAAAATTGTTTGCTGAGTAGTATCGAAGACAATACTTTTGCCAGGTAGTGTAAATGTTATCTTTAGTTATGCTTTTATATTTAATAGTTTGTACATATTGTGCTCTCAATCTGAATGTAAAGCAGGCGACTGTAGTGAAGGCCTAATGTAAATGTAAGTCCTGCATATTTGCATGCTTGGCTGCGTGTGCCACACCTGCGCACCTGAGCGCGTGTGTAAAGCACGAACATGTCCACACACTGCCAAAGGAATGTCTAACTCCAAAACATGTCAAAATCATCCATTACCAGCCGGCCCAAACCCTGAACCGCCCATCAGGAGACACACAAGCACATGTGCAGTGCTGATAATCATGTTAGGGTATTTTTAGCACCGCTGGATTCTTCACTCACTGCATTAGTCACACTGACATCATTGTGTCTCTGTGACATGAGAGATTAGCCGGGATTTAAGTTCAGCTTTAGTTTGTGTTTTGAAAATATTTGTCACAGTGCATCTCGTCATCTGATGAACTTTTGATGGAATTAACAGCTCGACTATTTTGCTTTTGACAACAGATTTAGAAGCTAAAAACACTGTTAAATAAGTGTAAAGTCTTGCACAAATCTTTCATATGACAATACTGATTAAGGGTCAGGAGTTGTTTGTCAAAACACCATCAAAGGACATGTCAAAAGCATGAAAAATGGGTAACACTTTATAATAACTACACACTATGAATAATTTATTAAGCATTAGCCAATAGTTCATTCATTACTTGTTGAGCATTAACTCTACATTAATAAACGTTAGTAAGCAGTTTATAACTGCAGTTACATATGCTGTATTCTTGCTTATAATGTGCTTAATAATTGTACTTTCATAATTTCTGAGCGATGAGTTTTCATTACTAAATGAAGTATTGTATTGTTTACAAATCATTTGTATTTAAGAGTAGTCGATGGTTTTTAAGATCATTCAAAATGAGTAAGTAAATGATTAATAAACGTTTATATATCTTATTATTTAGTACTGAAAAAATATGCAAAGATGATTTCTTGGATTTACTCAAATTTTTTCCGTTAAGTGGTTAAAAACAATTTATTTGTGTTGAATTTAAACAAGCAAATTAAGTTGAACATTATTAAACTTAATTAGTTTCATTGAATTCAACACAAATAAATTGTTTGCAACAGTTCTGCATGCAACACTTTTTTTGTGTGTTAATAAATGCTTCATTAATACAACTTCATGTCCCGTTTCAGGATAGAAAACAGGAACAAAACGGGAGTAGAATCCAAGTGCAGATTTAATAATGTATTAGTGCAGTGAAAAAGACCAAAAATCCAAAAATCGAAGTAATAAAAGTAAACAAACAAACAAGGAACTCAAACAGATTAAACTAGAACTAGGACTCAACAACTCTGACAGGAAACTAGACAGGAATCAGGAAAAACATACCACTAAGACGACAACGACGAACTAACAAACAGAAGATGGATGAATGACTGAATATATAGTCCAGGTAATCAACGGGGAAACAGAGACAGCTGTGATTGCAATCAGTGTATATGAAAGACCAGGTGTATGCACGAAGGAATGTGTGGATATGTAGTTTTTTCGCCACTGTAGTTCGCAGGGAGTTGCAGGCGATTACAGTGGCATCTGGTGTTCATACATAGTCATGACACT